GTCTTCTCAGGAGGCTCCAGACTACAGCACCTGCTTGCAAAACACTGCGAGGTGCGTAGGCAGGAAGAAGGCTCCCAGGAACAAGAACCTCCCCCAGCTACTCTCCATCCCCAGAGCATACAGGAGAAAGCAGCTGCCTATGAAAAAGGGAAAAAAAGGCCTGAAAATCCTGAATACCAATTGTGTCGTTCATATCCTGGGTCCTTTGGCATGCTGCACCCTGCAGCAGCAGGGACCTTGGCACCCAGTGGCATGGACTGAGCCTTGCTGCCTGCCCCAGCAAAGCTTGGTTGGGTTTGCTTTGCACAGCCCTGCTGTCTCCAGCCCCTGGGCTGTTTTTTCATGGTGTAGGGGCACAGAGCACGGTGACCTCTGGCTGGGTGCAGGGGCCGTTATCAATAACAGGAAACGAACTTGTCAGGAGGGGCAGGAGGGAGAGAGAGAGACCCAGAAAGAAAGGAAGCGGTTAGAAAGTAGTCACTTCCATTTTTGCTGCAAGAGAGCCTGCGCCCACGCGCCATTGGGCTCAGGGGAAGCAGTGCTGGCTTTCCGCAGGCTTATCTGGTCTGGGATCGGCAGTGAGTTTTTCACGAAGAGTGCACAGATCCTCTCCTAGCCCGTGATAACAGCTAGAAACAAGACAGTAAACCAGGGATGGTTAAAAATAGCCTGGTTTCAGCCAACGTCCGGTGCAGACATAGGTGCAGCGAGTGAAACAGATGCTGAGTTTGTCACTCCATGGGGGCTAAGTTTCTTAACCTCGCTAAAAACAGCCCATGCATGTGATGCTGACTGTACCATCTAGCCCCAGCACAAGATAGACCTGTGGATGCATTACCTGGCGTCAAAGGGTCTTGCTGCTGCATAGTGCAGGCCAGGGAGGATGCGCCAGCAGCTTCTGCATGGAGTCTTGGAGGTGGGGATGAGCTGGGGTTGTCTGAAAGACCAGTGGTACAGGGCGAAGCCGACCCAAGAGCTTGGCTCCTCCAGTTCCCAGCTGCTGGTGTGCCGGCTGCTGCTGCTGGACAAGAGGCATCTTTTCTCCATGCAGATACTTGCATAACTCACCCCGGTGGCCTCTTCCTCTTTTCTTGGGCAAACTGTAGAGCTGAGGCCTGTCAGATCTTTTAACGAAAGCCGTGTTTTCCAGAGCTCTCCATTCTGTTTTCCTGCACACTGTTAAAGTATCTTTTTAAGGCAGGAGAGCCCACAGAAAAGCTTTGCTACCCCCTGCGAATGTAAATCCACTGCCATATCTCTACTATACAGCACCCTGCAAGATCCCCCTTGAGCACAGAGAGATTCAGCTTCCTTGCTCTGAACCCCATGGAGACAATCCTGTCTTAGAACAGGAGGGCATGTCCTACAGATGGGCAGCCAGGATCATGTGAGATACATTGCATGTGCAAATAAGACAAATCCTCTAAATTCAAGTCCTCGATCCTGCAGTTTGGCACTAGGTTGTCAGCACCCACACCTGGCTGATGGTGCACTAAAACATGTGGATCTGCTCCCAAAGGAAGGTTCTTGAGTCGTGGTGCATCTTGCAAGAGCCAGAGCCCCTTGCCAGCCGTGGCAGGTCCCATCTCGCCAGCCAGAGGAAAGACTCGCCATAGATGTGCAGAGGCAGCCAGAGGGCAGCAATGCAGAGACGATGAGCAACTGCACAGTGCGGCTCCTCCAACACGCAGCCAGACGCCCGCCAAGGCAGGGCCGTGCATGCGTGCGAGTACATGGGCCTGTCTGCTCTTGAAAGCTGTTTTGGATAGTGCTTTCTGGCCCCAAAAAATCAGGAAGCCGCCACGTTGGTCCATGCATTGCTCCTGCTGAGCTATGCCTCCCAAGTGCCCTTGGTCTCTCTGCAGCTGTGTGGCCATAGGTCTGAGCCACAGGAGCTCACAGTACACAGTGTCTGTTGTATCCCAGCTCCAGGTATCAGAAATATTCCTGTCGGCTCACTGAGGGGAAGCCATGGTGCTGAAAGCCACAAATGCCCCAGATTTGGAGGAAAAGCTAAGAAACTGCTAGCTTTTTAGGGTTTTTTTCTTCTGCTGTTGTGGCCAAGGGAGGGTCCCCAGATGCTCTGGGGCAGGGGACACCTTTCCTGCCAGCAAGTGCAGGTAGCAGAGGATGGAGCCATGGGGCTTTCAGCACTGGAAGATAGATCAAGGCAGCAGCTGGTGGCACCAGAGCCCATGACACAGCATAGGTGTTGGGCTTTTTGCTTGTGAAAGCCTCGCCTTGCCAGCACTGGATGAGCTGCAGCGGCAGACAGCAGACCTCTCCATCACCCAGGGCTGCTGAACACCCTTCCCCTGCTGCTTCCTGGTGTGGGGACAGGGTCAAGCCGTGGGGCTGGCATCAGGGCAGTGTTTGCAGTCACCCTGAATAAGGCACCGGGTCTGCCACCGTGTGGGAGAGCAGCAGGTCATGGCCACAGTGCCTGGTTGGCAGGTCCACCAGCCCATCCTTCTCCCCCCATACCTCGCTTCTGGTTTATGGGGGACATTGTGCCCTATTAACAAGGGCTGCTGGACTGTGTGTGCATTTTGGGAAAGGGTGGGCCCCTCTATAAAGCAGAGCCTGCATGCAGTGCTGAGGCCCAGGTCTGTGATACCAGGATAGGGCAGGAGGGATCTGTGCTGCTGTTAAGTGAGGAAGAGGATGGTGAAGCACTGGCTGAACACCCACGGGGCTGCGGAGAGGGGTGCAAAGCCAGGAGCTCTGCTCTCAGCTGGGACAGGTCATCCCCACCCTGCCACACCACCAGCCAGCCTGGTGTCAAAACACTGCAGCAGATCATGTCCCGCTTGGTGGGCATCACCCCTGTCGGGAGCTATCTCCACCTCCTCTCACAGCCCCCCAGGCAGCTCTGCCTGCCCCTCTTCTGTGGGTCTCCTGAGCCTCTCCTCAGACATGAGAGTCACCAGTGGGGCCACCTCAGCTGGGCTTTGGGGTTGCTCCACTTTGGGGAATTGGTGTCCAGCCGGGGGGACTCTGCAGAGGTCGGATGGGCAGGGGCCCTGCTGCCTGCTCCTGCCAGGGGGGAGATGCTGTGTGCTGGGCCACATCCTGCTGGGTCTGGGCCCACGGGTGCTGGCAGAAGCCCCTGTGTCTGCTTAATTCTCCATTCCTGCAAGGGTCTGGTTTATGTTTCTGTTGCGGTCAGGGACGGCTGAGGATGTAAAGATCCAGGATGGACCCTGAGGAGCTCCAGATGGATCCTGTCTTCCTCAAGGAGCCAGGGCTGATTCAAGCAGTGACAACCGCCCTGTGTGTTGGCGTCCTCTCTGCCTGCCTCTTCTCCATGGGTCAGAC